ACATTGCATTTACATTCTGAATCTTTTAAAGTGATAAAAAAAAAAATCAATATTTTTCGATTCTGACTAATGTCGTGGCTTGTATAAGGTCAAAGAAATGCTAATCGAAAAACGATTATTCCCTACCAATATTTTCCCCATTTTTTTTTAAAAAGAAAGGACCACTCAATTTAAATAGTCCCCAACCCAGATTAATTTTCTCTTGTTGTCATCATCATCATTATTATTATTATTGTAGATATTTATTAAGATTAAATCAATCTGGTAGAAGGTCATAGATTTTCACGTGGGACTGGAACATTTTACACACGCCAAAAGGCTAAAAGATTAGTTTATTCAGTTTCATTATATGAGAAATTTCCGGGATAGATATTTTCCCCGCATAAATTGCTCAGTCGCATGATCATATTGCTAGGGGTTTTCGAGTGAAAAGGGGTATTAATACGTGCAGGAGTAAAACGTCATATGAATGTTTACTAAAATATTAGTGTAACACCAAACCGCAAGAGGCGGCCAACGTTCTCTCATCTACAGAAGTGAATGTAACGCCATAGCAGGGCTAAAAAGCCAGATCTACGCAGCCCATGTTTGAGAGATAAATCAAATGATTGTATTATTCAAAATCGATTCGTTGCCACCATGTATGCTTGTATGAACCATACTGTTAAGAAATTATACTGGCTGTAACAGCAAAATTGTTCAAATCTTGTAACAGCATAATGATGAAAAGCGAAGAGGAATCTCTCAGATGATTGATAGAGAGCAGTTTCGTTTTGGATGCATTAAAATTAACAAGTCCTTCCTTACCCCAGTTAACAACAGATTTTAGGTCATTTTTTTAGATCAGCTGCCAATTTAATCTTATCGAACTGATAAGACTTTCTATTAAGACAGATATTAAGACACATTTTGGAGAGAAAAAATGTCTAGTAAGACACAGTGAACCAACTTTCCTATCAGAAGACCTAACAGTTGATTCAATATAATCTTACCACTTCATGGCATCAGAAAATGTTATTCCGAGAAGTCGAAACGTGTCACTCACCTGGAGGTTAGCATCAATCATGCTGATGGAAGGCATAAAGGAGTCTCTCAGATGATTGACAGAGAGCAGTTTCATTTTGGAAGTGTTAAAACAAACAAGCCATTCTTTACTCCAGTTAACAACATATTGTAGGTAAGTTTTGAGATCAGCTGCTAATTTGATCTTACCGGACTGATCAGTAAATAATTAAAATTAAACTTGTAGTTCCAACAAATGATTTATATTTATGGAAATATTACTTTTTCAACTAGTGGAAAAATTTTTTTACATTGTTTATATAATTTTTTTTTAAAGATTCAAAATTTATTGAAACAAAACAAGTTCAGTTGACCATTGATGGCTACCTTTTTGCTTCCATAGTCTATCAATATGATAAATATCACTTTTGGGGAATGCATTTCTGATTTCAAATGTCTATAAATTTTTTTTTTTATTATTATTGAATTTGGCGCGAAAGTTAGCTATTTTCGAAAGTTCAGCTTCATTGTCAAATATTCCTCAGTTTTAAAAGATTTTGTTTTATTTTTGTTTCATTTTCAGTAACGATATTGACTACTCCAAATATGCCTATTGCACGTCTGCGGTCAAGAAACGGGTGGGTGGCGAATTTCAGTCCAATCAATCCGGTTGTTTTAGTCTCTATACAAAAGTGAGCACACACGCACAGACATTGTTGAGAAGATTCATTCATTTTTAAGCTTACATATTTTCAGATTTTATTGCGACAAATTCACGTTTACGTATTGTGTACGTCTTTTATGTTATGGTGATTTCTCTAAAGGTTCGTTTTTTTTTTGTTATTTTTTCTATTCAGTTTTTCCTCACAATTTACTTTAACGATTTACTTTCTGTCAGAGCATGTTTGACTGCACGTAATTGCCAGCTGACAGATTGCTTATTAAAATGTGGGTGCAGGGAATTACTGGAATGTGTATCACTATTTATACGTGCCGTATTTTCTCCGCTTTATCTATCTATCTATCTATCTATCTATCTATCTATCTATCTATCTATCTATCTATCTATCTATCTGAGTTTGTTCATGATCTATCTATCTATCTATCTATCTATCTATCTATCTATCTATCTATCTATCTATCTCAGTCTGTTCCTGTATATCTGTATATCTATTTCAATTTGGTTATATTGATCTATTCTCGGTTTGTTCATATCTATCTATCTATCTATCTATCTATCTATCTATCTATCTATCTATCTATCTATCTATCTATGTCTGCCCATATCGATCTATACTCAGTTTCTTCTGATCTATCTATCTATCTATCTATCTATCTATCTATCTATCTATCTATCTATCTATCCTCTCAGCCTGTTCCTGTATATCGATTTCAGTTTGGCTATTCACATCTTTCTCCTTTTATTTATTACATTTTAGTGATAGCCTCGTCTATTATTATCCTTTTTCTCTTTCATATTTATCTGGTTTGTCGTTAAGTGGAGACAGATAGGTTAAGAGCTTCTTGTCAATTGGAAACGTCGAAGGGTGGAGAAAGAACACAAACCAAGACAAAGACGGCCAGGTGTGCAGCTATAAAATGGACGATTTTTATTGTAGACAGCAATTTTTAAAGTAGATGTCTGACGGGGTTAGCGAGGAGAGAAGAACATTTAACAAGGAGTGTTTGACTGCGATGTTTCTGAGAGAGGTGATGATCTTGACATACGTACGTATTAAAATACATACATACATATCCACCTGCCGTCGAGTGATATTTCAGAAGCTAATCTCAAAGACCATTGTCCATCGGGTTCTTTCTAACTTCAGTGGGCGATGCAATATTTTATCTTAACTAGGCTAAAGTAAATTCGGTGAAAATCCCACAGATCATTGTTAGATTTCCTTCTATCATTATGAGAAATGTTCGGGAAATATGAACGGCTCAGTCGAATAAAACTTACGACGGACATTGGTCTCTCCTGGGACCTACTTAAATAGTCTGGTCCTCTCATAAAATATAGGGACATTTTTTTTTCGGAAATACTTTTTTGTTGATCAGTATTTTTAGGCATTCTTTAGGCCACAACTCTTGCCAGAATCGAAATATATTGGTTTGTTATTGATTTAGATATTTTAAATATTTTAAATATTCCTTCAACATCAGGATTTATTTGACAATATTTAAGCTATCTTTAATTTTAAACAATTTCTGGAACCATTAATTTGTTATCCAGACTTAAAGCATCAGGCTTTTATTCCCTCAAACTTTGCTGTTTTTTGTTGTATAACACGGGCCATTTTGTTTTCCTGTCACCCTTCTAACAAATTAGAGCGTGGCTCCATCTTCATTTCATCTCTGAATATGATCTTATCCCAAACATCTGAATCATAGCATTTTGACCAACTTCAAATGGTTTACGTTTAAACCTGATTTCTTCATTAAAATGAATCTCTTCAGTCCATCTTCTTGAAGGATAATCTTATCTACTGACACCAAACTGAACAAATCACAATCATCCATCACTTGTATATCAGTCTTCTTTTACTGAGCCTTTTGCTGCTCTGATCAGTCTCCGTTTTATCTTATAGCTTTCGAAGACGACCATAGTTTGGTCGATCTAAAACACTTCCAGAGCTTTGAATCTTCCAGGGGATATGTTTTTGACATTCCAAGACCCTTAGTGACTATTCGATGGTTCGTATTCATTATGTAACTTCAAATCATTAATTCTGATTACCTTAGAATTTTTTGCGATGATTTCAAGTTATGGAAGAATACAGGAGTTTGATGTCAGAATTTGCCTCCCCCCCCATATATAGAAAAAAATCGGTCCTGTTGCGTAAAAAATATTTCCCTTTTACTGGTGAAACAGAAAAGAGTAAACAAAAAAAGGCCAGCAGGTCGAAGAATTTCGCACATCTATCTTTGGGTGTCGTCTCGCTTCTTGCTATAAATATGATAATTGTGTAACAATGACTCCAATATGGCCAAATTTTCATCGATAGACAGCGCAATAAAATATTAACTAATAAGTTGGCAATTATTAGAAATTTACAATAGTTTAACATCGCCTAAGACTTTTGCACGGTACTGCATATATATATATATATATATATATATATATATATATATAAGCTCTTGTAAAATATATTTCAACTGAGCACTGTTGAGAGATAAACTGATTCTATAAACAACAGCCACCTGCGCTAATGCAAAGTCCTTCGGTAAAATGAATTGGAGCCCTCTGACTGAATGGTGTTTGTTTACATTCGTAAAAACAATATGCTAGAATTAAATTGGTGATAGATCAGTAGTAGAAACTCTGACTGCCACCAAATAAGTTGGATTTCAATCCTGGCATGAAACATTTGATGTCTAGTCGCAATGAGGAGCTGTAATACAGCGAAACAGTACTATCTACGAATGATATATGTATGCATGTGCAGGTACGTAGAAAAATAGGAAAGAACACGTTAGGTAAATATTCCGGAGTTCTTTAGTATTTTTATTTTTAAAAAACAGTGATCCATACAGAAGTAAAGCTTAAATTATAATTATTTTTTAAAAAATATGATTCCTTCGCTACATAAAAGTTCCCGGCAGGGAGCCGAGACCCTCAATATAATTATTAAAATTAAATTGAATTAAGGTATCAAGCCCTGTTTCATCCTCAAGTGAGAAGTTAGGAATAACCAATCTTGAAATTTACGCATCTTTATAAGCATATTCGCTCGCAAAATTAATTACTATGGAAACGGCTGGGGCTACCACTTTGATAAGGGGTCTGACAGTTAATTTTTATCCACATATCAATCACCTTCGGAAAGAAGTCAAGCCAAGTTAGGGTGGGGTATCGATTTCAAAGAGGATGATGGCATTCATGTACGCACATCGTCTGGTCAGTTACAGCGAAAGATAGCTTTTGGCACCATGCTATGTTGTGAAGTGTGAGAATTTTGTTTTATTTTATTTTATCTATTTATTTTTATCCAGATGGCTGTTTCATATATAAACGCGTCGCACTGAACTACTTATAATTATGAACTAATTATATATATATATATATATATATATATATATATATATATATATAATTTCATATCTAAAACGACTATTAGAAAATAAATCCCACGAGCCTATTTGGTCGCCAACTAGGGCAGCCGTGTAGTATATTAAGTGAAATTTATTAAATGTCAGTATAGCGTGCCAACCGTAGCGCTAGAGTTATGAATGTAGTCCCATGGACCAAAGGTAGCGCAATGGGTTCAATTCGAGTGCATTTCTATATCCTTATACCAAACTAATAGTTCTTTAAAACCGTCAGGACGGACTGGATCCTGGCGCTCCACAGATTCCTTTTTCTTTATTTTCTGAAAATTGCCATGGCAGCTTGGGAGTGGAGTGCGTTCCAAGGGCCTTCACCACAGTTTTAAAATCAGAGTTGTCCTTTCCAAGACTGGATGCCGCTCATTGCTACAGAGCCCAGCCTACTCTGCTATGTAATCAATAACAGGTAGGGTGAACAAAGATGGACACTTGCCTTGTTCAAAGGCGTTTGTTCGAAAATGAACAAAATAGACCTGGATTGGAATTTGGACTCTGTTCACTGATTTCCCTTTTCGTTTGGACAACTGCACATCAATACAACTGTTGAAAAACAATAACAACAACAACAAAAATTACGATAACCGTTTACGTTTGCCATTGAAAGACGGTGTTCAAGCTCAGATAAAATACATCACAAACTCATGTTCACAAGCAACCTTTCTCTCTTGGGACTGATGCAACACAATCTTCCAATCCCTAATACCCATCAGAATATTTAGTTGAAAAGCTATTTTCCTTCTGTGCACATATGGTTAGGCCGTCAGCGTTATGACGACGTCAGCGCGCAGGAATACTGGACAAAGCCTGAATACCAGACTTCACGGGATGAGCGAAGCCTTGTCAGTGAAACTGAGTAGACGAAACTGTTCGGACGCCGTTGATAATAATTGTGCTGACACGAAGTCACTAGTCATCATGACTGAGCGTTTGAGCGTACCGCCCATTTTCAACCACTGATCACACCTGATTATGCGCTCTCAATCAGAAACTGAACTAAGGTAGGTTCAAGATAATTTCAATAAATTAAAGACTGACTCTGGTGGGTGTTGAAGAAATACAAATGTGACGGCGCAGGCGTCTGCAAAAAGAAATCACTAGCGTCCCTGGTAGACGAGAATAGTTTAAAATGCAAACCAGTCATTACATTATACTTTGGTTATTCTTTCTTTCTTTCTTTCTTTCTTTCTTTCTTTCTTTCCCTTTATTTCTTAACGTATTCATATATTCTATTCATATATATATATATATATATATATATATATATATATTCTTTCTTTCCCTTTATTTCTTAACGTATTCATATATTCTATTCATATATATATATATATATATATATATATATATATACATACACACACACACACACACACATATATATATATATATATATATATATATCACCTAAAAACGTGTGCGATCGAATGAATTTGAATTCTCTCTTGTAAATTTATCCTAACGTAGAAAACATTTTTGAAACCAGCGTAGACAAATAATCAATTTTGTAGTGAAAAGTAGATGAAAAAAAAAAAGAAAAAAGAAAAAAGAAAAAAAGAACTTATACGTAATAAAGTGGTTGGTCTCGCGTGTCAAGCAGGTCATATAACCAGAGAGCGTTTGATATGTCAGGTATGGTTTTTGCGCAGTTAGCGACCAGGTCACGACGTTTAATTTGAAACAGGTGTAAATAAAACAATCGTCGGCAGTACTTAACTTTACAGGTGAAAAGTCCCGCCTACCTTATGACACAAGACTCATTCTTCATATTACATTTCTTAGTAGAAGACACTCACAAACAATTATATATATATATATATATATATATATATATATATGTATGTGTGTGTGTGTGTGTATGTGTTTGTGTGTCTACGTGTGTGTGTCTGTGTCTGTGTTTGTGGGTGTATATGTAAAATTTCAGATAGCGCACAAGGACAATTATAAATGAAGAGGGACTTTATCAAGGTAAATGTATTTGCCTTGATAAAGTTCTTCAGAGGACGAAACGCGTCTACTTAAATAAGTTTACCTTTTGTCTTTATATATATATATATATATATATATATATATATATATATATATATAATTTATTCGAAAAATTATAACATAAGCAAGTTATAAAATCACTACAAATATAGCTATTTTTGTTTCAACACTTCTTGTGTTTTATCAAGTGATGGTGTTGAATGTTGCATTCAACACAATCACTTGATTTGATAAGACACCAGAAGTGTTGAAACTAAATGGATATTTTGTAGGGTTTTTAGAATATGTTCATCATAATTTTCGAATAAATTATATTTGCTCTACTCTGTATTGATCACTCGTATAAGAATCCTATACTTGGATATATATATATATATATATATATATATATATATATATATATAT